GTTTTTGAAAGAAAATATTAGATAGACTATATTTTTAAATTATTTTTTGTAGACTATTGGCGGTTGTATTTTTTTTTATTCATTTACTATGGAGTTGAACTATTGATCACCTTATCATGTGATCTTTAAAAAAAAATGTCTAAAAATTTGATCTCTCATCACCTGTTTTCGAATTCAAATCTTGGTTTGTAGAGAGGTTAGTAATTATTGCAGACCAAAGCATGTTTCTCAATTAAGAAAAAGGAAGAAAAACAGTAGTTAGTAAACTAAACCAAATTAATATTTTTAAAAAATTATTGTTTCCCTTAGATCTCATATTCCACATGGCCATTGTCATAGAACATAAACAATGCATTAAAAAAAGGGTTCAATATTCGAGGAAAATTCAAAAGTGTCACATCTAATCTGAGAAAAAGGAAGGACAGACTTAAGAGATAAGCAGAAGTAACCCATCATTTAGAATCAAAAATGATTCTCACGGAATCCTTTTTCTGGAAATTTTAAGAATTTCGTAATCGTGATCGTTAATTGTACCTTGTGCGGTAAAAAAATATTTAAAATTTAAAATTAAATATAAATAATATCTAACAAAAACTGATCGCATGATATACGATAAATGATCACGATCATGAAATTCCTAAAATTTCTCAAAAAAAAATCCGACAAGAATTCTCCGAATAAAAATCTGGCGACGATCATTTTTCATTTAGAATTTCCACATAGATATTTTCTGATTTTGGCAATCTGAGATTTTGATCTGGTTCTCAGTGTACTTTCATTTTCTTAACACTGTTCAAAAGATGGATGGGATGTTTTATACATTGAAACTCTCAATAAAAACAGGAGACTCTCTTCTCCTCTGCTCTGTCAACATCTTGTACTACTTGTGGTGGTCGGAAAGCAGTCTAAGAACGTTTGAAAATCCAAGTTCAAGGTATTTTCAAGGGTGGAGTGGATGTAGACTATGAAAACGAACATGCATGAGGGTTTTGTTTGTTCAAGAATTGTCATCCACTAATCGCGCTCGACAGTCCTTGCATTTACAGGATGGGGATTGTTTGCCCTCCACTTACCATCTCCTTCCTATCCTCTCTTATTTAAATAGTCACGGTTAAACCATGTCAGCATTTTATATTCATATTGTTTTTTGTTTTATTATTTTTATAAAAAAAAATCAATATAAAATATTAACGTGACTTAACCGTGACTTCTCAAATAGAAGAGGATGGGAAGGAGATGGTAAGTAGAGAGCAGACAATCCACATCCGCATTTATATGTCTTGATTGGATATCTTGAACTCATTAGAAGCAAGCTCCCTAGGGAATATTTGAGACTAGGCTTGTTTGGGATTGATTTTGTGATACCACGTCTCGAACATTTATTATTTATTTATATTACAGCTTTTGGGAAAAACGATTTCATGAGTGTTTTGGTTTGAATTTCACTTTGGTGTTTGGAGGTTGGTACATAATAAATGGATAGAGCTTAATCCAATACGCATTTAGGAGAAAACTGTTCACGAATCGAATTTGAAACAAAGAAGTTACAAGCATGAAAAAAAAGAGGGGCAATTTAGTCTTTTGCCATTTACTATAAAGAGGAATTTGCCCTTTTTGGAAACTAAAAACCTGCCAGAGTAGAAAACTTCGCAAAACAGGAAAGCCAACCCAGAATCCAGACAGCACACCCTGCGACCCCACCAACCCGTTTTACTTTGCAATTTTTCGATCCAAACTTCGACCATCCCCAATAGAATTGATCGACGCCACCACTACAAAGTTCTTTTTGTGGCAAAATTGGCCGTCTTCTGTTCACTTTTGAACTTCGTTTCATATATAAAAGTTGTTTGGTTTCTACATGCATATAAAACTTGGTAGAATTTGGAGTTAGTTAGAAATTCTTATTTTCGTCATTGGAAACCACCACACATGGCAGCGAGTGGGAAATTCTGGTGATTGGGATTTTGGACAGCTAGATATTCTTAGCCCATATTCAAGTTCCGTTTGTTAAAACTCGATTCCATGGTTCGATTATTCAATTTTTGAAATAATTGTACCGTCGTTCAATTTTTGTAATTGACGACAGTCCGACCGTTGGATCGTCGTTCAATATTGTCAGCATGTTATTTATTGATTGTCGGAATTTTGAGAACTTATGGAACAAAAATATGATGTTCGGATCTTCCGGAGTTTAGAATTTAGTATTGTTGACCCTAACAGGGCCTACTTTGGCAATGGTTGAATTTTTAGTCAACGAGCTCCGAATTAATTTGGTGTATTTTATTCTGCGTTGATTGTGTCTAAGTGTTTCTATCTTTGTGCTAGTTGGTAGTAGTCTGGACTTCAGGTGAGTGACTTTAATATTGTGTGATAAGCAGTTCACCAATGAAAATCCCCATGTTGATATCCTTTGTGGATTTGACATGAAATTGTAAATGTGTTATTACCCAGACATGGATCTGTTTTGTAAAATGATATATATATATATATATATATGTATGTATGTATGTTTTTGAATGATTGCAAACTCAGAAGGCTAACAGAGAACTAGTATTGTTGTATACTTTCTTTCTGGTTCTATAAATATGTTTGAAACCCTAGACTTCATACTTTCTTTCTGGTTTCATGAGTTGATCTGAAACCCATGTGAATACCTTCATTCTAGGTATGCCAGGAGTATGTGTAGAATCCAGCTTCCCATCTTGTGTTTCAGTTCAATCCAATTTAATGAGTGCGTTTGGAATGCGGAACATTGTGATTTGTGCTAGCCTACTAGCCCTGTTATTTATTTTATATGTGTGTGTGTGTGTGAAGATTCCAGAGTACATCTAAAATGTGGAACGTTGTTATTTTATTTATAAGTTTGGTATCCAACTTCCCATCTTGTGTATCAATTGTACCTGATTTCATAAGTGGAATGCAGAATGTTGTGATTTACGCTAGCCTACTAACCTTGTTATTTTATTATAAATACGCCAAAAGGTTTCATGAGTGCATCTGGAATAGTGAACGTTGTTATTTTATTATATAAGTTTGGAATCCAACTTCCCATCTTTTGTATCAGTTCTATCTGATTCCATGAGTGCGTCTAGAATGCAGAGTGTTGTGATTTGTGCTAGCCTACAAACCTTGTTGCTTTATTATATATGCCTATGTGGATCAATCATGAAAAGAAGATTGAATGCCTGTGTGGAATCAACCGAGATTTGTACGTGAGATAAAGATTATCTTATATATGCAAAGAATTGTGAAATGTTTTATAATTGAGATCGATTGACCTTATATTCAAATATGTTGTACTATTGTCACTCACACGAGCTTCACAACTTATCTAGATTTTTGTTTTGCCCGATGCACCATTTTCATGGTGTAGGATTGTTTCTTGCAGAGTCCAGGTAATAGTTAGAAAAGAGGATTTCAAGGAGCGTAGATAGTGTGTGCAATGCACTTGAGAGTAGGGGTTTTTACTCTTTATTGTAATTTGGTTTCTGCTAAATATCTTATGTATATTATGTATGAGTTCCAGTTGACTCAATGTATTATTGTTTTGCTATTTTCAGTTGTCATGTGTCGATCCTTGGCATATCTCTGGATCAGAGTGTGATAGTTTGTGCTTCTCTAATCTAGAATCACTTTTAATTTTCAATCATAAGTTTTTATTATTGTCAAAAAGTGTTTTTAGCTATTTAAAAATAAATCTTAAACAAGACTTGAAAGTGCTTCTGTAAACCCAAAATGCACCTACATGAAAAAAGAAGACAACCAAATACGCTTTTCACACTATTTGACAAAAACAGCTTTCTTAAAAAATCTGTTCCATAGGGCTCCAAAGCATGTTTGACTTGTTTTTGAAATGATTACTGTATTTGGTAGAAAAATTGAGAAGTTTCAAACAACTGGAGAAGTACATGCTAGTTACATCTTAAAGAAACATTTCCAAGTGATTTTTCATTAAGCACTTCAATTTTTAATATAAATTTCAGCATTTTTATTATAACAATCTCAAATGTGAATCACCTTTATAAAACTCTATAATTTCATCAAATTGTCACCCAAAAACTAATCGCATTATACTAAAATACCACTACCTGGTATAGCTTTCATGTATTTTTATCTATTAAAATTGTACCGTAAAATATAAACCCGGTTACCATCTATATTATAATACAAATTAATTATATCAGACAAATGTGTCAAGTACCAATGATCATTTTACATAACTCTGTTAGAACTTTTTTCCTTTTAAACTTTGAAGTTTTGACAACTTCGAACTGAAGTTCTAACAGAACTACAAAAAGAAAAAAGAAAAAAATAATGGAGTTTTAACGAAAAGCCCACGGTACTGTTCATTTTAACGAAAAACCACATTTTTACACTAAAAAGTCAAACCTGGTACTATTCACTTTACCCTTTATTTTGTCCTTATCATTAAAACTCAAAATTTTTAAACCTTTTTTTATAAGTTTTCCTTAAAAAAAAAAAAGAGAGAGAGAGAATACTCCACAATGTGACAAGTCTAGAAATCAACCCTCGTACATTTTTACTTCAAGAATTAAAATTCTAATTTAACTAAAGTTCAAGAACCAATACTTCAATTTTCTATCGATACTATATATACGTTCTAACGAGACACTCATAAAACTACGATTAGAATCTATTGAAGTTACAAAATCTAGGCCATATAAGCTACAAGTTGGATGTCCTGTAGCCCTAGATATACGAACAATAATATATATTGGTCAGTTTGTGTGGCTACTCAGCTTGGAATAATGGTTAATAATTTTTTCCCTTCTGCTGGAAGCATTCGGGAATCAAGATAGACATGCAAAGAAAAAAGAAATAGAATTTTTTATTTATTCCAAGAGACGTTAGTGAAAATTTTCATGAAGTCTTTACCATTTCATGTTTTTAATACAATATTTTATAATGTTAAAGAATTGATATTAGACTGTAAGATAATTGAGCTCTATGAAAAATCTCACTTTAATAGAGGATTCTCATTTCTCTTATTACAATTATACATGCATTATTCAAACTTTTCAACATCTTTACTTTAAAGGGTGCTCTGCCTCTTCCCTCAACAAGCTCTCCTCCCCATAAGCTAAGCATCTTCACACACACACACACACACACACATACACAGAGAGAGAATCCAGAGAGAGAAACTAGAGAGAGAGAGAGAGAGAGAGAGAGAAGGGTCGCATGAGATGGCCAGAAGCCAAGCTTCAGGTGATCAAAGTGCGGATGAAGACTACATAGACATAGAAGTGAGCTCTTCCTCCAACTTCTTGTGCTATTCCATCAGCTCTCCACCACAAACCAGAGAGTTTGAGTTCCAAATGTCCACACTTTCTCAAGACAAAGAAACCACAACATCCCCAGCTGATGAACTCTTCTACAAAGGTAAGCTCCTCCCTCTCCACCTCCCACCTCGCCTGCAAATGGTCCAAAAGATCCTCCAAACCTCCAACAACAAAACCCAGGAAGCCATTGGTGAAAGCTTCACCAAAAGGGAAAGTTCCAATACCCCCTTGGATCAATCCTGCAATATCTCCTCCTCAGAGTCCTGCAGGGTCAGCAGTGAGCTCAACTCAGATGAGTACATCTCCGAATGGACGGCTGACATGTGTGTGAATTTCATTGGTGGTCACAATGATCATCCAAAGAAATCTTGGTCCACAAAGCTGAAGCAGATCAAGCAGTCCTCATTGGGTCAAAAGCTCAAGGCTTCAAGGGCCTATGTGAAGTCCCTGTTCACAAAACCCACCTGTGCAGACGACTACAACTCATGTGCAAAACCAGCGAGCAATGCAGAAGCAGAAGCAGAAAATGGCTCAAAAGTCACAGACTTTTGCTCCAACAAGTATATGAAAGTGGCCAAGAAAACCCCATTTGGAAGAATCGACAATGGCAGGTTCCAAATATCATCCACCACTCTGATGAAAAGCATTGAGAAAGAAATGGCTGAGGAAAACGCAAACACCCACAGAAAATCTTTCTCTGGGGCAATCCAACATACACCTGCTCTGCAATCTCTGTGTTCCCCCACATCTTCCTCCGTTTCTTCGTCTTCCTCGTCTTCTTTCTCCTTCAGCTCAAGTGGGTTCTCAGATTTGCAGCTGCTGAAGCGAAGTACAAGTGCAAATTCAGAACTTGAGAGCTCGATAGAAGGAGCAATTGCTCATTGCAAACAGTCCCATCAGCTGTTCAGTTCAAGAATGCAGTTTGTTGGGGTCAAGAGATCTCACCAGGCCTCATCCAATAACGCCGTGAGAGAAACACACATGAATAATTTGATTGCGTTGTATGATTGAGATTTTGAGAAATTGAAATGGGTTTTTTTCTGTTAATCTCTCTTTTGAATTTTTGGGGTTCAATTACTGATTACTATGCAGTGTGATTGACGTATAGGCATTTGTATTTGCACGTTTTTCCAGCACTGTTAGAGCAGAGACTTTCTTGTTCTTGGCGTTGTTAACTGTTCAAATCAAAAAGTTTAGCGCAACTTTCTGTGGTTCCCCAACTTTTTTTACTACTTGAGAAGTTTTGTAGTTGTAACTGAGTTGATTTCCACGATCCTTTGTTTGATTCTTTTTGTTACTTTTTGGATGACACATTATTGTTATTGGAAAGGAAACTTTAACGAAAAACTTTCGGTACTGTTCATTTTAACGAAAAATTATATTTTTACACTAAAAAGTAATTCTGATATTATTCACTTTTTCTTTTATTTTGTTATTATCGTTAAAACTCAAAGTTTTCAAATCTTTTTTATTAGTTTTTCTTAGTGGAAAAGGATCCGAATCCTTTTCCTAAAGATCCCGTGATCATAACCATTCATCATACATCGTACGGTTAGTTTTCGTTAGGTACTATTCATATTTAATTTTAAATTTTGAAATGATTTGTGACCGCATGATGTATGATGAACGATCACGATTACGGAATCCCTAGGATCCTCAGAAAGAGGACTTGGCGAGGATCCTTTTCCATTGTTATTATTGAGTGTGAGTGTGCCTATTCACTTGCTACTTTTTTTTTTTTTTTGGAAGGCAAGGTTTTATGTTACTCTAATTTATGAGCGGAGGAATCAAATTTGAGCATAAGAGGAGAGTATAGATTTGCATCAACGTTGATAGATTTTGTTACAATAAATGTATCCATAACACGTCAAAATGTTTTACCGCTCAAAAGTATGGACCAATGTTATTGACCTTTGTCAATAAGAGCAACTTACTTGATACAAGTATATCGTCGCGTACTATCTTGTGCACATATACATGTGAAAAAAAAATTTCAAATGCATTGTTAGCTCAAGAGTCAAGACGCCACAATAGCAATGTACTTATGATATGTAAATTTGTGTACAACAATCTGTCATTTAATAAAAGTGGACGTTATATTCAAAGAAGAAAATTTGAAATAATTTTGGCAGGAGTAGAAATGATGAGAAGAAAATGAAAATGTATTTAACACAATCAGTAAAAAAGGAGAGAACCCAAATTATTATGGAAAACTTTTTCTCTGTTAAACTGAGTCAAACTTTTTTAGTGGTTTTAAAGTAAAACTAACCCAGTGTCTTTGTTGACAGGAATATTTTTGCTAATCACTTTCTTCATTGATAATAATGTTCATCCTCTTTGAAATTCTGCATGTTGAATAAACATAAATCTCAAAATCAACTTTCAGGCTTTATGTCCTTCATCGTTCTACCTTTGAATGAGGATCCTCTCTAGATCCTTTTTGTGAGGATCCTTAGAGCCTTAAATCGTATCTGTTCATTGTATATCGTGCAGCTAGTTTTCATTAGATACTATTTATGTTTAATTTTAAATGAAATTATTTAAAATAATTTATGACTGCATGATGTACGATAAATAGACACGATTTAAAGATCTTTTGAATCCTCATAAAAAGAATCCAAAAAAAAACCATCACAAAAAAGATTCGGAAATGATCCTCACAAAGAGGATTTCTTTATTTTCACCCAAAAGCAGTGTGGGGGATATCGTTCTACTGTAGTCTGAACTGCATGAAAGTTAGGAGCAGATAATCCATTTAGCTTTCATCTGTCAATCATTATAAGTAAGGTGAAATTCATAAACAATAAATGGTCTCCCAATCCTATATTTTGAAGTATTTTAACCGTAAAATCTTAACTTCTGTATGTCAAACAAAAAATCTAATAATTAAGACTTTAGAGTATCTTATATTTCGAAGCACATAAAAAACCTAATTTTTATGATTTGCAAAATATAGTCTTCCTAGAATTTTCCTTAAAAGATTTTTTTGTCGGTTTTTGGTTGTCATAAGGTCCTGCATTATGGTTTTACACACCCCTTGTTAATTTCTGTTTTTTCATCTTTTTCAATTCATCCGATCCGATGGTTGAAAGTTAGAAGAGTGTGTGAGAAGTAAAAAAGGATGTGTGGATATCACATCCCTTGCTCAAAATAGATTGCATCAAGTCGAGTTTGATAAAAAAATAAAATACATCATATTGTTTTTACTATACATCAATGTGTACAATACATTACTCAAATGGATGTTTCAGTTTAAATATTTTAGATAAAACTATCATATTTGACGGCTTAAATATTAAGGACCAACCCAAAAATGAGTTTTAAAGAACCACCACATTAATTTGATTACTTTCATGTTAACATGATAACACCACAAATAATTGTAGCCACAAAGATGTTCCCTGTCTTCCTCTCCACAGATGCATGTTACATGCATCAGAAATGTATTAAATTAAACCAAAAAAATCTATAAAAAATGTGAAGGGAATGTCACTCCAAAATTATTTTCAAAATTCCAAAGAACTAAAGAAGAATTGAAAATGTCATTTTCTGGCCAAGAACATTTTAGTATTTCCATCTCCCTTCTTTTGATTTTGACTAAACATTCATTTGAAAAACTGTCTCCTAGATTTTTGACATGACCATAGGTAGAAAACTCATTTGTAGAGCACTAGGAAATACATGCATACATACAATGCAAGCACATATAAACTCAGTTCCCCACCATAACACTTACATGCTTGTTTGTGGTAAGGGAGATTCTTACCTATCTCGGTTGTATATTTTTATATGTATCTTTTATTACGTGATCTTCTCTCTTTTCACATAATGAGAGAGATATAAATAAGAGAATACAACTAATTATATCTTATCATATAATGACAAATGACTTGCTCTCTCTTTTTTTCTTTTTTTGATACGGTGATGTTCTATGTTACTCTAATTCACGAGCAAAGGAATCAAATCGAATTTGAATGTAAGAGGAATCGAATTTTAGTATAAATTTTTTTGCACCAATAATGTATCAACGTTGATAGATTTTGTCCCAATAAATGTATCCATAACATGTCAAAGTGTTTTACTACTCAAAAGTTATGGACCAATGTTATTGACCCCTGTCAACAAGAGCAACTTACCTGGCATAAGTATACCGTCACGTACTATCCTATGCACATATACATATGAAAAAAATTTCAAATGCATTATTGGCTCAGGATTTGGGACGGCACAATAGTGATGTAAATATGATATGTAAGTTTGTTTACAACAATTTGTTATTTAATAAAAGTAGACATTATATTCGAAGAAGAAAATATGAAGTAATTTTCGGAGGAGTAGAAATAATGAGAGAAAATGAAAATGTATTTAACACAATCAGTAAAAAAGGAGGGAACCCAAATTATTATGGAAACCTATTTTGTGTGAAAGTGAGTCAAACTTTCAAGTGGTTTAGGGTACGGTAAAACTAGCCTAGGCTTTTGGTTGAGAGCAATATTTTTGCTCAAAACTCTCATTAATGATTAATGTTCACTCTTTTATGTATTAACGTTAAATGAGTTTGAATTTCGTATGTATTGGAAATATACAAATATCAAAACTTAAACTCATTAACGATGATAAATATAATAATGAGCATTATCATCGTTTTAAAGTGATGAGCAAAAGTGCAACATTTGTTTCAATGACTATTTCAAATTTCAGGCTTTATGTCCTTCATCATCTTTATACTTTCACCCAAAAGCACTGTGGGTGTGGAGCGAAATTGTTCTACTGTAGTCTGCAGTGCATCAAAGTTAGGAGCAGAAAGTGCAACCTTTGTCACACTAGATTTCAATGACTATTTCAAATTTCAGGCTTTATGTCCTTCATCTTATACTTTCACCCAAAAGCACTGTGGGTGTGGAGCGATGTTGTTCTACTGTAGTCTGTAGTGCATCAAAGTTAGGAGCAGATAATCCAATCTTTCATCCGTCGATCATTATTAGTTAGGTGAATTTCATAAACAATGGATGGCCTCATAATCCCAAATTTCAGATATTTAAACTGTCAAATTTTAACTACTGTATTTTAAACGAAATATCTAGTAATTAAAATTTTAGAATATCTTATATTTCGAAGCACATAAAAAATCTTAAATTATATGATTTATAAAATATAATCTAAAAATATTGTCTCTTTAAAAATTTTCTTAAAAGATTTTTTGAGGGCTTTTTGTTGCTGGAAGGTTTTACGTGGTGGTTTTTGAATTGCTGAAAATAGGTTGCGTCAAGTTGGGTTCGACAAAAAAATAAAAAAAAGATACATAATATCGTTTTTACTAAGCATCAATGTATACTTACTTAAATGGACGGTTCAGTTTAAATATTTTAGATAAAACTATCATATTTGACGGCTTAAATGTTGAGGACCAAACAAAATTTTCACAGAAAGGGTTAGGGTTTAGGATTACCAACCAAAAATGAGTTTTAAAGAACCACCATATTAATTTGATTACTTTCATGTTAACATGATAACATCACAAATAATTGTAGCTACAAAGATGTTCCCTGTCTTCCTCTGCAGAATATCCACAGAGGCATGTGACATGTATCAGAAATGTATTAAATTAACCAAAAATCATCTATAAAAAAAAATGTGAAAGGAATGTCACACCAAAATTATTTTCAAAATTCCAAAGAACTAAAGAAGGATTGAAAATGGCATTTTCTGGCCAAGAACATTTTAGTATTTCCATTTCTCTTTCTTTTGATTTTGACTAAACATTCATTTGAGAAACCGACTGCAAGATTTTTGACATGACCAGATGTAGAAAACTCATTTGTAGAGCACTACGAAACACATACATACAATGCAAGCACATATAACAAGAAACTCAAACCATCTTTAACCGAATGAGGGCCAGATGGCTCGTTTTAGCTCTCTCTGGCCCTCCAAGAAATTAATATTTTAATGAACAGTGCATGGCCATATTTCTTACCATTTCTAACCGAGGGCCAAAAGGCCATAGGGATCGTTTTAGCCCTGTCACAAAAAAGGGTCTCCAACCAAGGACCAAAGGGCCATAGGGCCAAACATAATTTATTATTTAAATTTAAAAACTACAACAACTTTAATTTAAAAACTACAACTTATATTTAAAAACTACAAATTAAATTTAAAAACTACAACAACTTAAATTTATAGGCTAGCTGATGTCAGCATGACGTTAGCTAGCCGTTGGATTTGAATTTTTTTGGCTATAAATAGGATGGATATTGGCTATAATTCACACACCTTTGAATTCAATCTCTTTCAATTCAAGTTTACAATGAATTCCAACTTTTGATCCTCTTCGAATTCCAACTGGGGGTCCTTATACAAATCCGAATTGGAAGAAAAATGGGTGCATATGAGACGAGAAGATGAGGAGTCTGATAAAGAAGATGAAGCATGGCGCAGCACACAATATGTGGCAACCATGGTTGCGGCTATGGTGTGTCAGCCAACTAAGGAACAACCTCAATGGGGTGGCTCTGTTATTGGTCGCTCTTACCAACCACGAAACAGAGCGATAATGCATGCCAATCTGATGAACAACTACTTCAACCTCAACTTGGTGTACACAAAAGATGATTTCAGATGTCGCTTCCGGATGAGGCGTCACATCTTTAAGCGTTTACTTCATGATGTCCAGCAAGTCACTTTCAACAGAAGCTGGACAGAGCAAGCCGTCCTGGTTTCTCACCTCATCAGAAGGTTACTATTGCACTATGAATGATGGCCTATGACACCCTAGCTGATTCGATGGATGAAACCCATGGTATGTCTGAATCTACATGCCTTGATACTCTTGCTGAATTCTGTAACACAATTGTTCAGCTTTACAAAGAAGAGTACCTCAACGAGCCAAATCAAGAAGATCTTGCTGATTCGGGCCGTTTTCGGCCCTCTGGACCCTTCAGTTGGAGATGGTCTCAATTCCCCACCATAACATTTATATGTTTGGCAAAGAGATTCTTAACTTTCTTTATTGTATATATTTTTTAGGAGAAATTAGGTTCTCATCCCTCTTTCTTCTATTTTATTGATTAAAACTTTATTTCTTTGTAATTTTTGATCAAGGTCTTTAGGTTTTAATGAATGTCATTATTTCAATATACAACATAATTACATTAAATTTCTAAAATATTCATTTAGTGTTGGAAAAATTACATATGGTATATTTATATTTGGGAGACTTTGGATGCGGTCCTTAGCTATGAATATTCTTTGATTGAAACTTTGTCGGTTTTTAATTTTTGATTGAGGTCCCTGAAATCAATGTGATAATTTATTTCTATGTACGTTACTATAATTTTTAAATTAAAAAAATAGAAATTTTAGTTGTTTATATAAATGAGATTTTAAATAAAAAACCATAATATGTGGGATTAAAAATATTAAAATATAAATACACTGTTGTGTGTGTTTATATATATATAAACATGGGTACATTCATCAAATTAACCAAAAAAATTATTGTATCAAAACATGAGTACATTCTTCAAAATCACAAAAAAAAAAAAAAAAAAGATATTAGGCTTAAGAACATTAGTAAATTTCTTTGATTAAACTTGACATGGATACATTTTAAAATCAAAGAAAAAAGAATGTACCCATATAAATTTAAAAATGGATTAAAAAAAATTGAATAGATTATATATATAAAAAAAAATGGTACATTCTACATATAACAAAATAAAAAGTTTTACATGAATAAGTACATATAATTAGCATGGGTACATTTAGCAAAAATAAAAAGTACAAATAAAAAAAAAATGGGTACAAATACAAATAAACTTTAAAAAATATGGGCACAAAAAGAAATTAATATATGGATACAAATTAAAACTGAAAAGAAAATTGGTACAAATTAAAAAGAATTACAAATTAAAAATGGGTACAAACTAAAACTAAAAATATATGATAAAAAATATAGTCATAAATATTATGGCTAAACTAAAAATCCTATTCCTTGATCAAAAATTGAAAAGGAATAGTATTTTAATCAATGGAATAGAAAAAGAATGATCAGAACCAAATTTCTCCTTTATATTTTATGGCTAAACTTTGTATCATATATTTATATTTTTAGTTTGTACCAACTTTTAATTTGCAATTTTTTTTTAATTTGTACTATTTTCTTTTTAGTTTTAATTTGTACCCATATATTAATTTCTTTTTGTGCCCATATTTTTTAAAATTTCATTTGTACTCATAATTTTTTAATCTTTTTTTGTACCCTAATTTATTTATAATGTACCCATTCTTTTTTATTAATGTGCCACTTTACTATATGTGAAATGTACCAATTTTTGTGTGTAAAATATACCAATTTTTTTAACACTATGGATACATTCTTTTGCCATTTATTATTTAATATTGTTACATATTTTTTTTCCATTTATTCAATCAAAATGTTTGAATTTTTATTGTAGCCATTTCTAATAGTATTATAATAAGGAATTTTAAATTTATAGGATTATAAATCTCATAAAATATCAAACAATTAATGTCAAAACGATAAAAATATAAATACTAATAGTAATATAATGAGGTGTACAAAGTCAAGAGACTTTGATCAAACTTTGAATACCATTAGTCAAAGAGTGTTAGGGACTAGAGACCGCATCCAAAGTATCTCATTTTTTTATGTCTTTTTTGTTACGTAATCTGTCTCTCTTAATATCTGACGAGATCACTGAATGAGAAATATACACAAGATAATACAACCGGTTCCAAGATGGAATTTCTCTCCAAGACAATGTCAGAAGGATAGGTCGTGTGTTCCTTATACATAACACAAATTTGAAATTTGAAGAGATCAGAGCTCTAACAATCACACAAAGGAATTTCGTCAAGTACTAATTGTTCTTTCAATCTTTCGCCTCATAAATAATTTATTTCTGGAACATCCCAATGGAATTTGACAGTAACGGATCCGAAAATTCTACGGTGTTGGATAATATCTTATAACGTGATACTTTTAACGGCTGAATCTAAGTCGTCATATCTTTAACTAGAGATCTAAGTGTCAAATACTCTATACATGTTATGTATGTGGCAATAATGGAGCTGTGACCAAGTGGAGCATGTCTCCATGTGGTGTCTGTCAGCTTGGAGAGCGGTTCAAGGCATCAAAAACACACTATTATTTCACTTCCAAATTGAGAGATATTTAAACGTTTTCTGCAAGTTTCTCATCTGCTTCTGCTTTTATTCTGGTCTTCTGCATGATTCCTCTTTTAACATGACCACCTACAAAATGAGGACAGCATAAAGGCTTCTCTTTTATCCTCTTGTGTTTACCCTTTTTAAGAGAAAAAAAGGACCAAAGATAAGGAGGCCCTCCTCATTTCCCTAAAGGGTTTTCTTTAATTATTTGTTTATTTGTTTTCATACAATGATTTCTGCAATCGTATTTTTCTCCATGCACTCTATTATTCTCGTACGATCTTTAGATTGAACAAATAAAAAAAAAAAATCAACAGAATAGAGAGAGACACTTAGGTCTCGTTTGGCAGTTTGAACTGTATTGATTATTTCAATCGGATATGATAAATAGTCATTGTATAGTATTGACTAAATTAATCGGATGTTTGATGCAGTATCGAATAATAACCATATTATTTATACTTTGTTTGGTACAATACCATATATGAATTCAATGTAATTATCTAGAAATCCAAATACTTTTCAAATCCTATCTTCAAAATAAAAATCTCCCAAATTAGAACAAAACCTAATTTCCAAAATTAAAAAAAAAAATTGCACAGATGAAATCTTTGGGTTCCCAGCAAATCCTATTATCGATTCCCAGCAAAACCTATCATCTTTCCCAATTTGAAATATTTCCCATCACAACCTAATTTTTAAATCCTATCATCGATCCGTCACCACCTTCAATTTCCTTCAAAAGCCCAGATGAAAACAAAGACAATTGCTAGAGCAGTGCAACTGTGGCCACACACCATCCAAACCAGTTGAATTAGTGGATCATGTTCGAATGCAAAGACGTGGCAGAGAGACATTCTGCGGAACAACATCCATCTCGGCCATTTATTCTTCATCTAATGGCTGTTATGAAAGCACGACAGATGAAGCATAAAAGACCAACACAACCCATACGTGACAAAATTAAACAGAAAATAAAATTTCATTTCTCTCTTACTCGATCATTACTCTACTCTTTTGTATCCTTCATTTACTCGATGTATATCTCCTCTATCTCTAACACAAAAATAAAAATAAAGTTGGTACAAAGTTTCACAACCGCAGTCGTATGATGAATGGCACCAGTGTACATCAAACCCATGTATCAATGGTACATTAGTCATATACATAGTTGACACAGTGTGAGAGAGTCTATTCACTCCACATTCGACCAACATGATCCTCTCTGGATCTTTTGGTGAGAATATGGAGATCTGTAAATCGTGTACGTTTGTTGTACATCATGCAATCAATTTTTATCAAGTACTGTTTGTATTTAATTTTAAATAAAAATATTTAAAATGATTTCTAACTACACGATATATGTGAACGAATATAATTCATGGATCTCCAAGATCCTCACAAAGAGGATCCGGCGAGGATCCGGATTCCACATTCTAGTCATTTTGGCACTAAGTTGTGCTCTAAAATATTTGAGAGAAATTCGAGTTTCTCAACGAAATCATGAGGCAATCTTGTCAATGAAAACCTAGCTAGTGACTGAGCCACTACATTACATGTTCTTGCTACATCCAACTCAAAAACTACATGACAGACATCAAAAAAGCTAGTGGTCATGGGCATTTGGTACAAAATTATAAGCACATCTCATTGGGAAAACGACTCTAGTGAGTTCGGCCACTGTTTGAGAATACTTCAGAGTACATTACATCATTTATATACATAAGGGCCCAAAAATCGAATTAGGAGCCAGGCAATTTATAAGTAAGATCAATTGTCAAATTGCATAAACTTTCTTACTCTTATACTCAGTGTTCAAAAGCTCTGAATCCGAAATCACCGAGAAAGAGGGTGAGTGAGAGTGCGAGCACGAGAGTGAGTGTGAGTGTGTGCTCATCGATGATCTCCGAAGGCTGCGACGATGTTTAGAAGCTTCAACGTGCTGCACAACCATCCAATAACACATTGTTCCAAATGTCATTCCCATGATCACTGTCCCTATAGCTGTCACTCCAATAGCCAGCCATTTCTCTTCTTTTCCAACAATTATATATGACAGTGCAAGAAATGAAACCGAAATCATCACACAAGCCATCCACATGAGCTTGTTTATGACTGACATCATCTTCTCTTTTGCCTCCCTCTCTACGACAACAATAGAAGTTTGAACCACCACAACAGCCAACGATATGAAGAGAGCAAAAGAGTCAAAGATGAAGAAGACTACGAACTCAGGTTTGGGGCCAATGTTTGCTTCCCCGGGAGAGAATCCACGAGGAAGAGGTTTCTTGGGGTCAGGGTATTGGCCCGGGACAGTGAAGATTGCAGCAAAGGCGACAGTGGCAATGAGTACAGCCACAACTGTGGTGGAGTTTATTGCATTGTTAAGCCCATCCAAATGCATTTTACTGAGCTGCTTTACCATTCCATGCACTTGCTTTCGTGTTTGTCTCGTTTGCTTAAGCTGATCATGCACCTCATGTTTTATTTCGCTTACAGTTTGTTTGAGTTCTCGATTTGGGTTCATAGTTGGCGGCTTCATGGATTTGGCACTTTGAATCCCATGCTCTGCTAGAATGGTAGCAATCTTTGTGTGCCCAGATTTCTCAGCAGTGTCAAAAACAGATTCTCCAGATCTGTTAATGATGGTTTTCGCCACTCCCTTATGACTCAACAGCGTTCGAACAATCTGCAAAAGTCCAATCTCAGTGGCTTAGATACATGATTCATTCAATTAACCATTTTAATATCATGTTCTATAGCCTAACTGAACAACATATTCATGATCATTCAACTTTAAGCGATGACCGAAAACTCAGTAACACGCATAAATCCATTTGAGGTCTATAAAAAAGTTTTGATTTTCATTTGCATATTATAAATCAAATTAAAAAGTTTCATTACCTGAGCGTGAGCCTTCCCTGTTGCCACGTGCAAGGCAGTGTTTCCCTTGTTATCTACCACGTTTATCAACGAAGGATCTGCCTTCGCTAGCTCACCCACCAATTCGACATTCTGTCCCTTGACTGCCATATGGAGAGCTGTCTGGCCCTTATTATCTCTTCTTAATGCAATTCCGGTATCTTTGCTCAAGAAGGCCTGGATCACCTCCAAATGCCCTTTCCTTGCTGCAGAATGCAAGGCAGTTTTCCCATTGCTTCTTGCAATGGCCACCAAGCTGCAATCAGTCTCCAAAAGAAAACTTACTACTTCTGTGTGTCCCTGTGCTGCAGCGATGTGCAATGCCGTGGTGTTTGTGCGATCAACGGTCATTGAAAGTTCTGGAATCGCCTCCATGAGGACCTTCAGTACCTCTGAACCACAGTAAAAGAAAAAAAATTTAAGATTATCCGCTCGATAAATGACATCTTATCAAGTTCAATCATTGTTCACAAAACCTTCCTAGTCTCCTAAAGAACTGACAAACCAATTGAGGTAACACACTTTACGCAAGAAACCAGATTCTTCCACTGTGATTACAGTATGCAGTCCAAGTTTATACATAACAATAAGGATTTAACATCATGTCAATTAAGGGAATAATCACAGATTAAGGTTAACGAAAGTTTGAAACATCGATAGAGACTCACTCACCCAAGTGCCCTTGCTTGGAAGCAATGTGAAATGCATCACAGCCATTTCGAGCCTTGATACCAGCTGAACCAACATCATAGTACTTCATCATTTCCTTAACCAAATCAACATATCCACAATCAGCCGCCAGATACAAGGCGGTTTCCCCCATGTGATTCTGTTTCGACAAAAGTTCATTCAGCTCTGCCTCCCCACAGTTAGACAAGATTTCTACAACCAATCCCAAATCTCCTTCTCTTGCTGCCAAATGCAAGGGCCCGTCTTCGCGCTTTCCCGTCAACTGCTTAGTCATCTTCTTCCCAACAAAGCTTTGCTGCCTCACTGGAGCTTCCATTGTGTTCAGTACCAATCCTGTATGTTTAAACTTTGAAGGTTTTCTTCCCTTTCACCATGGAAGACCAAAAGTCAAGCTAGGCAACCTAGAAGATCAAATTTTATGAATGATTAGAGGAGGATAAGATAATTCAGATGATTCCATGAGTTTACACGTGGGAAATCTGTAAATTTGATTCCTTGATACCCATAACACACACCCTGACATCTTCCTCCTGTACCCAAAAAATAATTCAAATAAATTAAACCCCAATTGTTTAACACTCTCTCTCTCTCCCCTCCTCTCTCTCTCTCTCTCCCCTCTTAATTTATATACACATTTTTTTGCAAAATCCAAACATCATTACAAGAGGGCAAAAAGAACAGAACAAAAGTTAAAATTAAGCAAAGTTGAAACCGTCTTTGCACATGCAGTGTGAAATCAAATATATATAATGCCTAGTTGCATATCTAGCCATCCAGCAAAAGTTATAAGCTATGTATATACCAAAAAGGTCACTAATTAAAGTTTTTTTTTTTAAAAAAAAAATTGAACTTTATGAAACAAAATAATGAACTTACTGGTTTTGTGCAGTTGGGGTTTGTTAGAACTCAGAGCAGAATTTCTTTCCTACAAATTTAGAGAGTATGAAAGTTTGAAGTGTGAAAAGAAGAGCCCAAAAATTGGACGGTCGAGTGAGTGGAGTTCCGGTTAAATTCAACTATTAGTTAAAAGGTGATGTTGACAGATTCCCTAGAGGATGGAAGGAGAACAAGAACGGGTGGACGTTAGACATTTCCAGGATTAAAAGTTTAAAAACTAAAAAATATTTGATTTATTTAAAAAATTATTTTCAATCGATGATTAGGCTATAATTTGTTTGTTTGTTTGTTTTTTTTTTTTTTTGGTGAAAATGAGACTATAGTGTTTTTCATTACATCAAAAGTGCAAAATTTTAGAGTGATGTTATTCCCATCCGAATGTCTTATCTTCCCATTCACATTTTAATGAAATTTTTAATTACAAATTTGTCCATTTGCAAAAAGATTGATAAGGACATTATTTATCTTGTTTTGCTTAATTAAAAAAAAAAAAAAAAAAGATGGGCGTGGGAGACGATTTGTCTACCTTAAACCCTAACTTATATTTTCATCTCCTTTCATTTAGAGAAAGTAAAAAAAATATCAATAGACTTAGAAGATGACTTTTTCATTGAATAGGTAGAAGATGACGCTTCTACGGAAGAGGTATAAGATTATGTTTCCATTGAAAAGGTAGAAGAATAATTTGTGTGTAGGTCATTTGAATTTGTCCATCGTATTTTTAAATTTGTCGTTGTCGAAATCTTTTGAATTTGGATACCTCTGTTGTTTCCATTTAAATTCGCAGACCTTAATGGTTTTCATTTACATATTATTTGTATGTATATATTAAGAGTTATTTTGGGAATAATAGTGGGTGGAGAAACAATATTTTAATTTTTTTAATTTTTTAAGGTGGTGGGATTATAATGTGGGTGGAAAAATAAGACTATGTGGTGAGTCTAGTAGCTCTCTAATTTTATGGAGCCCACATGTCATTATTTGGTCAAAGAAACATCAGGTTAGTCAAATGTAGCCCCTCTTAGCTCATTGTTGGGGTCCATCTCCTCAGTTGTAATAATTTATTTAAATTCAACGACTAAATTTGAAAACATCCAAAAGTAATTTAATTAAATTAACCAATAAATGTAAAATATAAACTTAAAACTGATAAATTCTTGAGAAACTATGTTTAGCTCATTTAATTAAAAATAGTATATAAGTATAGTATAACATTGTTTATTTAAAAATAATTTTTTGCAAAGTTATAATTATGAATAGTATTATTTTTGGAAAGGGGTCATCTCCAGATCCCTTCCACCTAATTCTCCTCATCAAACAATCTGAGCCCTTAAAATTTGATCTAACGGTTAAAGTTATTATAACTTTTAAAATGGATCTGTATTTTTAGTTGTTAGATCAAATTTAAAAGTCTCAATTATTTGATGAGAAAAATTAGATAGAAGGGATCCAAAGAGGATCCTTTCCATTGTATTTAGCCACTTTACTGTGCAGCCAAAGGAGAAGCCGGCTTCATTGCAAGACAGCTCATTTTTGACCACTCCTTTCCACTTAGATTCTTTCTTGGTTTTGGACATTGACCAATCGTTCTTCACCACGTTGTCATCAAAATATGATCATTGACCATCCATGACCTCTATACGTGGAGTATCTCTGATGCAGCATGTTTCATACTTTTCATTTTTCATTACTGTGATTAGATTCCGTATCATCGTCGATTCTCTTCGTAAGAATTTTAGAGATTCGTGAATCATGTCTGTTTATTTTATATCGTGTGGTCAAAAATTATTTTAAATTATTTTATTCAAAATTAAACACAAACTGTACCTAACAAAAACTGACTGCACGATATACGATGAACGAACACAATTCACGGTCTCCAGGATCCTCACGAAAGGGATCCGAAGAGGATCCTGTTGGACGTGATTAGTCATGTGATGAAAAAAAAAAGGTTTGAAGCATAGAACAAGTTTTTCTACGACTTTTGCTAATAAGGGCTTGACAAGCAAAACATATAACAAATTTTGCGTAATCGATCCACTTCTTCAACATTCCAAACACAAATCATATCATTAAAAGGGGCTTACAGCTTAGATAGCCAGAACATTTATCACTGCACTCGAAGACGAAGTTGTAGACATCAAAATTTCGGTGAAATGAATGTTGACCAATAATTAAAATTTCAACGCTTACGTATCAACATAAATTTACATGTAGCGTGTGACTCAACGAAAAAAATCGAAATAAATTGAAAAGTCATCAAATACGACACGTGTCAATACCTGCAGAAATGATTTATTTCATCTGATTATTAAATCCAAAAATCAAGTTTTGGAATTCTATAATAGGAAGCAAGGCATTCATTTTGGAGGAAGGGAAGGAAGAAAGAAAAAGAAGGCAGAAGAAAGAAAGGAAGAAAGGAAGAAGCCTTGAAACTCTAAAGCTCTCAAGCAAATCCCGAAGGATCAAGAAAGCACTCTTCGTTCTTCGTCAAATCCTCCTTCAAGATCAGCCCCAACGGCCCTTGAGAACTTCCAACCAACTCAAGATCAAGCCCCGACGGCCCTTGAGGAAGGAGAAGTGTTCATCGTCATCATCCGTTCATCCTAAGATCAAGCCCCACGGCCCTTTGGATAAACAACCTCAACAAATCCACACATCCAATTGTTCTTCAAGATTAAGCCCAAAAGCCCTTGAAGATCCGCTCATCCATCAACCTTCAAGATCAAGCCCCAACGGCCCTTGAAGAACTTCCACCAACTCAAGATCAGAGCCTCGACGGGCCTTGAGGAAAGTGTTCATCATTCATCATCCCGTTATCCTAAGATCAAGCCCCAACGGCTCTTGGATCAACAACCTCAACAAACTCATACACCCATTCTTCAAGATCAAGCCAACGCCCCTTGAGATTCATTCATCATCCGTTCATTCATCGTAGATCAAGCCCCGACGGCCCTTTGGATCACAACTCATCCACAAACCTACACCCTAACGAAGATAGAATCAGAGGATCAAATTACAAAGAGATTGTAACCCCAAAATCATTAATACAAAAATATATTTTGTACACGTATTCTTGTCTCTTGTTTCAGGAATTTTTCGTGTTTACAGAAGTGTTAAGTTTAACTCCTCCTTCCCTTCTACAATACTATTCTTTGTATAAGAAAATATCGCTAGATCAAAAATTAGTTGGTACTCATAACTGGCAAAGCATTACAATATGAGGTGACAAAATGACGAACATTGGATAGGTATTGTTGGTATAATGAAAAATTGAGAGTGGGTTGATTAGGATAAAAAGCAAAGAAAGAAGACATTGACTTAAGTAAAAGACAAGCGAAGAGCACAAGGATTCAGGAGCCCACTTCTGGGATCTTGACTTTCTGGAAGATCAGGGTTCCCAACTTCCGGTGTTTCACGCTTCTTTCTATTTTCATCATTTTCTATGGTCGGTTGAACTTCCCTACCAAAACAAAATTGATCCATCAGTCTGCTTAATGGTGTTTCTGATAGCTGTTCCATTTGCTTCTACATAACAAAAACCGTATTTTTCTCGACGTTTCGTGGAAATGGAATAAGGGTTTTTCGACGCATATATTCTATTAGTTTCTCATGAAAACGACGCTAATTTCTTGATAAAATTTGTGTAGAAGAGTATTGTAGTATGTACTTTTGCTTATAAGCATTTTTGGATTGGATCGGTTTTGTTTACAAGTGCAACAAAAATTCGTTGAAAACTAAAGTGTTTTGTGGAGCCACTTAGTACTATGGTGGTGTAGTAGTATTCCTCTTCACTTGTAAATGAGAGTTTTAGGTTCGATTCTTGGCAACTGCAAATTTGAACACATTATTACTAGCTTATTATGAGGCTTAGCCTACTCATCGACTCCTTTAGTATAAATAATATCATTGACAAAAAAAAATGTTTTGTGGAAAAGCAGACCAAAATTCTACTTTCTGCTTCATAAGTTCTTCTAGTTGAATCAATATGAAGCACTACATGCCGTTAAAATATTTATCCTCATAAACGTTTTTGTTCATGACAAATAAGTTTTAACAAAAAATTAAGCTTCACGATATGCATTTGGAAGTGCTTTCCATAACCCAGTGTTTTTAACTTTTTATGTGAAACGCGTTAAAAGGACTTTCGATCTACCAAAAAGGAGCAATTGCTGCGAACAGGGTGTGGAACCGAGTAGATCACTTGCTTATAGTGCCCACGGTCACGCGGATTCAAGACCTTCTCCACCATGTGATGCACCTGGTTCTTCTCATAGCTGACAAAAGACCCATAATTGATTTCTGAGAAAAGCAAAAGCACCAAAAAAAGCACTGCAGGTAGACCCCCAACATCAACATCAATATCAACACCTTGTTATCCCAACCAATCACAATCTTAATTAGCGGACAATTAAAGTATATAAAATATGTTTAACAAAATGGATTATCTGTTCCAAGAAGTGAAGGATGCAAAAGTCTTCCAAAATGTATGAAAAGTGGTCGCTCTCAAATGTGACGGATGGGATCACTATCTGCCACATTTGTACTATATATTATAATATGAAATATTGTAATATATAATTTTAATAATTGAATGAAAAATATTGTTAACCAATTTCTTAGAAAGGTTATATTGTTTAGGAGTATTCCCTTGATAAGTGATATATACTTATACATGAAAAGTTATATCTCTTTAATAAGTAGATTTGGATTCTATATAAACCCATGAAACCATTGGTATTAAATATAGAAAATTAGAGTTAATTTTTACTCTTGAGAAATAAGGTTTCCCACTTTGTTTCTGTCATGTTTCATATGTCAAATTCCGAGTCGCGTCTTAAGAGTACGGAATATATAAAGTTCGCCAGAATCCGAAGATTGAAGTGCTTTGACTTCGGATTATAGATTGTCGAATCCTGGGAGATGGACGCCTACCGAACTACAAGCACAAGTGTAGGGACGAAATTCTATCTTTAGAACATTGCATTTATGCAAGCCTTAATCTCCAAGTTTGTCAATTATTCTAACTTTCTCTCTACTTGTTTATATTAACTCATATATAATTGGATGTTGTGATTTCCTTATGATATTATCATTGGAATATAATTATTTTTCATATTTCTAATATAGTTTTTATA